CTTTGGAATTGATCCGCCACCGTGCCGCGAGGCACGAGTTGGAGTGCCCTCAGATCCCGTGTAGTCCTCAGTCCTCAATCCTCAGGATTGAACATTCAAGGGCCCGGACTGTAATCCTCAAGCTTTCCCGGGTTCCCGGCGTGCCTCCCGCGGTTCTCTGGCTTCCCGCATGATTTTTTCTGAGCCACGAGCGCCCCGAAACGGGCCAAGAGGGCCCGAGAGGCTTCTGACCTGCAACCCTTGCAGAGTGGGAGCCGCCAAAGACACCCAAGAGCCCCCAATGAGGCGCCAAGGAGGCCCCGAGAGTGTCCCAAAAGCTCTCAAGAGTCCTCCCCCCCTCCCCTCCTCCTCCTCCTCCTCCTCCTCCCCTCCTCATCATCATCATCATCATCATCATCATCATCATCATCATCATCATCATCATCATCATCATCATCATCATCATCATCATCATCATCATCATCATCATCATCATCATCATCATCATCATCATCATCCATCCCCCTCCTCCTCCTCCTCCTCCTCCTCCTCCTCCTCCTCCTCTCCCTCCTCCTCCTCCTCCTCTCCTCCTCCTCCTCCTCCTCCTCCTCCTCCTCCTTCTCCTCCTCCTGCTCCTCCTCCTCCTCCTCCTCTTTCCCCCCTCGTCCTCTCCCTCTTCCTTCCCCGAGTGTTCCCCGAAGGGTTGTCACAACGGCTGGGGTGACACGCGGTCCGACAGCGTGGCCGAGCTCTGGCCACAGCGTTCGGCCGCATGGGCGCTTTCAAAAGGCAGGGGAGGGCGATGATTCGCCGTACGGCAAGTTCGTGTCGTATCGACCCGGGCGTTGGTTCCTGACACCGCGCGGATCGTTCAATCTTGAACGATCGGCCGTTTCCGAAACGTCCAAATCGTTCCACATCGAACGATTCTGGGTCGCCCGCGGCGTTCAACGTTGAACGCCGGCAGCGGGGTCGCCGCCGGTCGACACGACACGAACCTGCCGTAGGCGTCTTCGATCCGCCGCCCCCTGTGACTTACCACAGGGGTGCACGGCGCGCCAAACGTAGTCCTTTTAAAGGTTTCCAGAGGCCTTCGGCCTAGCCCGCTGGCTACCCGAAGAGACTGGACAATCATCCCCCTGAACATCGCCCGAAGAGACCCCTGTTTTTCCCAGGTCGTCGGTCTTCCCGCTCCAGACGGCCCCAAGATGGCCTCCAAGACGGCCAAGAAAGTCTCCAAGACAGCTACGGTGGCCCAAAAAGAGCTCAAGATGGCCCCAAGATGCCTGCAAGACGGGCCGAGATGCCCCCACGATGCCCTCGGATGGCCACAAGATCGCCCAAGACGGCCCTGCAGGCCTCCAAGATGGCCCCCAAGAGGCCTCCAAGAGTACTTCCAGGAAGGCCCGAAGAGGCCAAAATCATTGGTTTGAGAAGGTGTTTTCCGCCTTCCTCGTCGTCCTCCTCCTCCTCCTCCTCCCCCTCCTCCTCCTCCGCCCTCCTCCTCCTCCTCCTCCTCCTCCTCCTCCTCCTCCTCCTCCTCTTCCTCCTCCCTCCCTCCCTCCCTCCCTCCCTCCCTCCTCCTCCCCTCCCTCCCTCCCTCCCTCCCTCCCTCCCTCCTGCCTCCTCCCTCCGCCCTCCTCCCTCCGTCCTCATTCTTCATTCCTTATTCCTCCTTCCTCCTCCCTCTGTCCTCCTTCCTCATTCCTTCTCCCTCCTCCCTCATTCCTCCGTCCTCCTTCCTCCTTCCTCATTATTCCTTCCCCCATCTTCCTTCCTCCTTCCCCCTTCCCCCATTGCTCCTTCCTCCTTCCTCCTTCCTCCTCCACCTCCTTCCTCCTCCTCATTCATCATTCATCCATCCTTCTTCCTGCTTCTTTCCTCCTCCTTCCGCATTCCTCCTTCCTTCCTCCTCCGTCCTCTTTCATCTGTCCTCTTTCCTCAGGCCCCCTTCCTCATTAGTATGTTCGTATTCCTCCGTCCTCTGTCATCCTTCCTCCTCCTTCCGTCCTCCCTCCTCAATCCTGCGTCCTTTGTTCTCCGTCCTCCGTCCTCCTTCCTCTTTCTCCTCCGTCCTTATTCATCCTTCCTCATTCCTCATCCTTCCTCCATGCCCCTCCTCCTCCTCATCATCAACAGCAGCGTCAGCATCATCATCACCACCATCGTCATCATCCACCTCACCATCACCACCATAATCTGCACCAGCAGCAGTTTCAGCATCATCATCATCATCATCATCATCATCAGCAGCAGCATCATCAGCATCATCATCGTCATCGTCATCGTCATCGTCACCAGCATCGTCATCATCAGCAGCAGCATCACCAGCATCAGCATCACCATCACCATCATCACCATCATGTCTACTTCCTACCCCTTCCCCCTTCCTCCTCCTTCCCCCGTCCTCCCTCCTCCTCCGTCCTCCTTCCTCATTCCTCTTGCCTCCTGCCTCCTGTATCCTGTCTCCTGCCTCCTGCTTTCTGCCGCTCTCTTCCTTCCTCAGTCCGTCTTCCTCTTTCCCCGTTCCTCCTTCCTCCGTCCTCCTTCCTCTGTCCTCCGACCTCCTTCCTCCGTCCTCCTGCCTCCGTCCTCCGTCTCCTTCCTCCTTCCTCCTTCCTTCCTCAGTCGTTCTGCCTCCTTCCTCCGTCCTCCGTCCTCATTCCTCCATCCTCCTTTCTCATTCATCTTTCCTCCATCCTCCGTCCTCTTTCCTCCTTCCTCCTTCCTCCTTCCTCATTCCCAAGTCCTCCTTTATTCGTCCTCATTCCGCTGTCCTCCGTCCTCCTTCCTCCGTCATCCACCTTCTGTCTTCATCCGCCCTCCGTCCTCCCAACTTAATAGGTCCTCCCTTTTTCCTTCCTCGTTGTTCCTTCCTCCTTCCTCATCCCTCCTCCTCTCCTCCTCCTCCGCCTCCGTCTCCTCCTCCTCCTCCTCCTCCTCCTCCTCCTCCTCCTCCTCCTCCTCATCATCATCATCATCATCATCATCATCATCATCATCATCATCATCATCATCATCATCGGCAACAGCATCACCATCATCATCAGCATCAGCAGCAGCATGATCATCACCACCAGCATCATCATCATCATCAGCAGCAGCAGCAACATCAGCATCACCAGCACCAGCATCATCACCAGATTTATCGGCATCATCATCACCGTCATCATCATCATCATCATCATCATCATCATCATCATCATCATCATCATCATCATCATCATCATCATCATCATCATCATCATCATCATCATCATCATCATCATCATCATCATCATCATCATCATCATCATCATCATCATCATCATCATCATCTCATCATCAGCATCATCATCATCATCACAGCATCATCATCATCATCATCATCATCATCATCTCTGCATCAGCATCAGCATCAGCATTACCATCATAATCAGCAGCTGCGGCATCATCAGCATCCTCCTCATCATCAGCCGCATCATCATCATCATCATCATCATCATCATCATCATAATCATCATCATCATCATCATCATCATCATCATCATCATCATCATCATCATCATCATCATCATCATCATCCGCATCATCAGCATCACCATCATCAGCAGCATCATCATCGTCAGCAGCAGCATCAGCACCCTCCTCCTCATCGTCATGATCACAACCATCATCATCATCATTCCCCTCCTCCTCCTCATCATCCTCCTCCTCCCCTTCATCCTCATCGTCCTCCTTCCCCTCCAAATCGTCCTTCTCTTCCTTTTCCTCCTCCTCCTCCTCCTCCGCCTCCGCCTCCGCCTCCTCCTCCTCCTCATCTTCCTCCTCCTCCTCATCCGCCTCCTCATCCTCCTCCGTTTCCTCATCCTCCCCCATTCCTTGTCCTTATGGATCACTTCTCCCTGTCTCACCCCGATGCCAGTTTTTCAGCGCCGCGCACATTCGTTTTGAAACTTCGCATGAGCTTCATGGATTGAGGACGTGTCGTTTCCAAAATGTGGCTCTCGCCTCAGCGCCGCGCACATTCGCTATACACATTTGCAAAAGTTTCACGGATTGTGGGCGGCTCTTTCTCAAAATGTGGCTCTCGCCTTAGCGCCACGCACATTCGTTTCAAACTTTTAAGGGTTTCACGGATTCCCATGATCAGCGTACCAGAAATGAGATTTTCTTGTCTTGGAACGACTCGGGATTATGAGGGCGCAAGAATTACATTGGTTCGCCGTGTTGATATCTCCGAAATTGGCTTCTGGCACGATTCAAAATCGCCAAGACGACACAATCAGGTTGATCCGTGGCGTTGAAATCCCGAGAACATCGTTTTGGCATGCTTCAGGGTCTTCCAACGGATGTTTTCCAACGAGGCAGCTCCCTCACGGGAAATGAACCTTTGTGGGGGCCTATGAAGAGGGAGCTTAGAGGGAGGATGTGTTCCAACCTCGCTGATGGCTCTTGGGTTTCCACCGGTCCTCTGTCTACCCCTCCGCTTCCTCCTCCTCCTGCTCCTCTTCCTCCTCCTCCTCCTCCGTCCTCCTCTTCCTCATCCGCCTCCTCCACCTCCGCCTCCGCCTCCGCATCCTCTTCCTCCTCCTCATCCTCCTCATCCGCCTACTCCTCCTGCTCCTCTTCCAACTGTTCATCCTCCTCCTGCTCCTCCTCCTCCTCTTCCTCCTCCTCCTTCCACTCCTCCTCCTGTTCCTCCTCCGCCTCCTCCTCCTCCTCCTCCTCCTCCTCCTCCTCCTCCTCCTCCCCCCTCCCTCCCTCCCTGCCTCCCCTCCCCCCCCCCCTCCTACTTCAGTTATTTTCCAGATGCTCACCCTCCCAGGTCAACGCCTCCCGAGGGTAGTAGCTGTCCAGCTCTGCCAGCGCGTCCGCCGACAGGGGTGATACGTGCACGCCGAGCGTGCCAGTCCTGAGAGCCCTGCTGGCCCCGAGGGCCACGAAGAGGGAGAGGACCACGAAGATCGTCGTGATGATGATAATCTTGATTATCCGATATGGAATGATGGTGGAAAGGGGGCTGCCGCCGCAAACAGGAT